GAGTCAGCTGAGCAACTTATTTCCAGGGCCACGTGGCCAGTGTTGGTGCCGGTGGGTACAAGGATTGTTAATACTGACTCATAGGCCCAAGGCAAGCTCCTTGTCCCAAACTATGGGCATCATCTCATTATCCACGTTCCATCAGGTTACCATTAGTCGGATTTCGACTGTCAAAACAATATCCTCCTCCAGCAGAGCCATGAGCCTGATCATTTATTCTGATATACTTTTGGCTGCTACCAATTTTTTGTAACTTAAAAAATACTGGGATACTATATTTGAAAGTAAAGCACATTATTTCAACACCTGATTTACTCAATTTAACATATGGCTTATATCTTAAATGTGTTTTTAAAAGATTATATATTCTCAAATTGATAGAATTATAATTTCTCCTATTTAAGGGCTACATAATTAAATATAGGCATGTAATTTTTGTGGAAACAGATAAAATACGATATATAGAACATCGTAAAGTATTCCTGCTGCATCTCCTCCTCACAGTCCCCTCAGAAAAAAATGGGAAAAATTCAAAAAAGGCCTTCCACATCTAACACTTCAAATTTTTCAGTAACAAACTTGAGAATTCCTTTCTAATATCAATAATTTTTAAGAACTCTACATTTATAGTAATTGTACTTTTAGTATTCAGTTAAAAGACAAAACACAATGATAAAAGCTTTTATAAACCCAATAATTTTCTGAAATTTATAGTCATTAATCAGCACAGTACTTACATATTCTTAAAAATAAGAGTACAAATATATTTGCAATATAAACATGTTTGTAGTGGAAACACACATTTGCTCCACCTTGCCCTCCACTTCGTTTCTGTTATATATTTGGTGGTTCGGTATCTCAGAAACTGATCCAATATTTAGAGTAGAAAATGGACTTACCGAAGGGAGACAGTCTTAGGCAAAATGCAAACGTGTGTGTGTGTGTGTGTGTGTGTGTGTGTGTGTATTTATTATATATTTTTTGCATATTATATGTATTCTTGACAAGGGAATCATAGAACTTGGAGATATTCCAAAGTTTATCTGGGCTATTTCCTATAATGCAATAGAATAGATTCTAGATCATTCATAACTTAAAAAGCTGAATAATTTAGGTGCATTCAGCAATGAAACAATGTTATTATTTTATAGTGGCTTTAACACAGGGGGAAAAGTGTTTTTTCTATAATTATGATTAGTGCCATTGAAACCTCCAAAGTTTTTGGTTTTCACTCTACTACCTATAGGTGTGTGGAGGAGTGCAAAAATCTAGTACATGTCTATTCTGCAACAGAACAGCCTATCAGATCATTTCCCAGCTAGAAGCACCTGTCTTTCACGGATACAAATCATACGTTAGCCCTGGGGCATTCATTTATGGCATGTTTCTTTTATGATGATGGTTTATACCAGTTTGGTTTTTGCATGTAAATGCCACCATTCTTAGAACTCCCTCCCCCACCTTACCTAGTTATGATAAGCACACATTAGTGATTCATGAGAACATAATCCTGAAAACCTCCCCATTGTAGGAACTGCCTTCATTTTGCAAAGTATTTTGTAGAAATGCTATGTTCATATTTTAATGGAAACATAATCTAGACAAAACCAAATCACAAACTTCTTTCTAGTTTCTTTACGGTTTCCTCCTCTGTAGTTAAGTTTCCTATATCCTTGAGCTTTAGTTCTAGAGCTTCGGAGTTTGCAAGGCATTTTAAAACCATCATAGAATAATAGCTACTACTCTAAGACCAGGTGTACTTAGATTGTCCTGACTCTGAATTTCTGAATCCTATGTTCACCTCTTGCTTAAACATGTAAACCCATGACCCTCTGGTCTCTACCTCAAGTTCCTTCCTGCTCCTAGCCCTCTAAAACAAGTCTTTTTTTTCCTATGTCCCCCCTTTTTTTCCCTAAGTACTAGTTTTGCAAACTTGTACTTTGCAGATCAACTTCTTTACCTATTCATCGTCTAAGACACATAATGGCAATTTGATTAGTAGAAACCTGCCCAGATAGCAAAATGCATGCCCACTTTAATTTCTGTACAGCCAGTTAACATGGCATGCCTCAGGGAGAGCTCTAAGCTACACTTTACTTCAGAATCCCTTGTTAATTCAACAATTAATACTAATCTTTACATATTACAACTTATAAAAGACTATTTCTACCTTTTTTTTTTTTTTCAGACAGAGTCTTGCTCTGTTGCCTAGGCTGGAGTGCAGTGGTGCAATCATAGCTCACCACTGCCTTAAAGTCCTGGGCTCAAGCAATCCTCCCGCCTCAGCCTCCTGAGAAATTAGGACTACAGGTGTGCACCGCCATGTTGCCCAGTCTCGCTTTGAACTCCCAGGCTCAAGCCATCTTCCTGCCTGGCCTCCTAAAGTGTTGGGATTACAGGTATAAACCACCATGCTCAGGCTACTTCTAAGACTATTATGGCATAATAGGTACTCAATAAATATTTGTTGAAAGAATGAATGGATCAACTTATAGTCTTAGATGGAAAAGCCAAGGGATCAGATCTCTTTTTCTGTAACCACAGCACTGGATTGGCAAATGATGCCTTCTGTTTGAAATCATGTAAAATTCTTCTTTCAGATATAAACTAAAATCAAAGACAACCTCTGAGTGCCATTCCATTAAGCAATCTGCTACTGTAATAATCAGGTTGTGGCGTCCACCACCACTGCCACTGTCATCCTACATTTCTTTCTTTCTTTCTTTTTGAGACACAGTCTCGCTCTGTCACCCAGGATGGAGTGCAGTGGTGTGATTTTGGCCCACTGCAGCCTCTGCCTCTTGGGTTCAAGCAACTCTCCTGCCTTGGCTTCCTGAGTAGCTGGGACTATGCCACCAGGCCCATGCCACCACACTTGGCTAATTTTTATATTTTTAGTAGAGACGAGGTTTTATCATGTTGGCCAGGCTGGTCTCAAACTCCTGACCTCAAGTGATCTGCCTGTCTCAGCCTCCCAAATGCTGGGATTATAGGCATGAACCAATGAGCCTGGCCTTTCTCTTACATTTCTCTACACTTCTTCTGTCTTTTTTTACCAATATCGGAGCTGATCCAGAAATCTTCCAGTCCTTGGTGTGTCTGTGTGCGCACGTGCACACGCGCGCACACACACACACACACACACACACAGACGTATTTTCTTGATCTTGGTCCTAATGAATAACATGTGGAACATAGCAAGTAATTCCTTCCTATTCTATGAATAGCAATTCAAGGGATGGTTTCCAAAGAATTATTAAAACACACGCAAGAATTTACATTATACTCCAGTGGGTAGTAACAAATTGAAAACGTTATCAATGCTTCATAATGTGGGGAAAACTCTGGGTGTATAACGATCCTGGGCAGTGAAAAAGAAAAAACTCAGATTCTGCAATTTGAACTACTGACCCTTTTCTGTAGATGACCAACACTTTTCACCTCACTTAATTTACTAATTTATTATTTTCTTAAGCTAAATTCTGCGTTCCTTTGGTATAAAATGCCAGCGTACCTAGAAAATATTTTTGCATTTTACATGCTAGTTAAAATACATCATCACATAGTTTGTGTCTTTAATAATAATTTAGTACCCTATGATTAATATACCAGACTGATATAAATATAAATAGACATAAATACACACACATATATGTTTCATCTTGCTATAATCCATCTGAGGTTAACTGAGAAAATCCCCATATAACAAACATATGTACAAGTCCCAGCCAATGATCCATTCTAGGGAATGTTAAATAAACCAAATCTGGTTTGGCCAAAGAACTTAGATAGTCCCTTGGAGTTCTCTGCTACATCAGGTGTAACTGAATGTAAAATTTTCTATCTGGAATTTCAGGGGCAATTAAAACTCTTAATAATTCTTTTTCCCTTTGGCTGTACCTTTATTGGTTGACAATTAATGACTTGGCTTTTGACCAACAGAGGAAAAAGAAATAATTTTTTTTTCTTCCAGAAAACTTGCGATGACAGATGTCATTTTCCAGCTCTCAGATGCCAATGGGAATTGAACCCAATAGTCATTAGCAATAAAGTTCTATACAGAGAAAATCCTATTTAATGGAGGAGCATTTTCCATTGGGAAATTCCTTCTAATAACAAGTAACTAGAAACTACTTATTGTTCTCTTTCCCAGGGACCAGTCCCATGACAGGCCCTCATTCCAGGCCCTACCAGGGTGACATCTCTATTGTACCACCAACTACCCAAAGTGCTGACAGGAGCCTGAGCTGGGCCTGAGCCGCAGCAGTGACTCAGCATGCCCCAAATGTCTCCAGGTTTCCCAGGCCACCCCACAGTTAGATGGCAGCTCCAGTCAGTCTCCCGGGGAGGTCTGTCTGACCTCATTACCATGGAGCAAGACAGGATTTTGTAGAACATTCTTTTTCAGTCTCTTTAAAGAGCCCAAGCCAGGACACACAAAGACTAGAAGCAGGTTTCTAGGAAATTTAACCTCTCAAAATATGGGCAGCATTGAATATCCCTGATACAGTCATTCACCAGCTGCCACTGTATGACAGCAATATACACAAAAGATGAAAGACAACGTTGAATGACCCGCACCCGACTCAGGACTAATGATAAGATTATTAAAGTCACACATCAGCCTACCCGAAGCAAAAATTTTCTTCCCTGAAAGAGTTGAGAAGTGTCACTGTCCAGTGAGGCATTTATTTTTCAAACTAAATCCAGTTAAGAAGCTGGGCTGCTGGCCATAACTCCTACAGAAACTAACATATACTTCTGTGCCTCTGACAGCCCGGCCCAGTGATGACTACACAGTTGTAATTGAATTGCATTTGATGTTGTTTGCACTAAGACAGCACCGGGCTTCAGGACAAACCACAGCTCTGCAGAGTAGAGGTCTAGCCCACTGTCCTCGCACCCCCACCCCCTGTGGCTTGGGTCTGCCCTTGTTGTCATGACCTGCCCAAGGTTTCATCAGCATCACCTCTGACTCATACTTTGTATTCAATAATAGCAAGATGCGAAGAGAGCTCTTCAGCAACGAGAGCCTGGAAGAGGGCCAGCGTATTGGTACTAAATCGGTGCTGGCCCCAACACAGCTCGCTGGGCCAGACGTGGATGGCAAATGGCTGACAGCCGGATAAACAAGCAGCTCCCTTTTTGGTGAGCTTCAGAGGATGCAGGTGGACAGAATCAAGGCTTCAGGTATGCTTTTCAGAGGCTCTGCGGGGCTGTGGGAGGCTGTGTGACAGCATTGGAGATGGTTGTGGTTCTCCCCAAGAAAAGGCACCAGCAGGGAGAAAGGCAGATTAGCAAACAGTGTGGATACACAGTGCAAGGCAGGGGAGAAGCTGTCGGGGTCACATCAACCTGTGAAAGGCAGCTGGTCAGGGACTCCTCGGTTCCCCATTGTCCTGCAGAGACATGGGGGGCAGTGTCCATGCCTCCCTCCCCCACCACCCAAGCTGATCCACAGGAAATGCTGAGCCCCACTGGGCAAGTAGAGGGAACCAAATGCCTCCAGATGGAGAAGAGTGGAAGGTCTAACTAGCAGTCCCAGGGAAGAGCAACACAGACAAGAGGTGTAGAATTAGCCAGGCAGGGTGTGTGGGCGCCTCCCGGTGCCGGCGTGCCCAGGTGGAAGTCATTCGTGGAGCTTGGTATAGGTTTTAAGGCAGTTTTGGTGTTTGAGGCTTATTTAGCACACATAAGTCCAAGGTAGCATTAGAAAGAATGATAAACTTCACGTGACTTTTCCAAACAACCAAATGAGCCCAGTGTTGGCACATAGCAGTCAGCTGAGATAAGCGGCCATTCCAGGAGCAAAGGCCCTTGTGCCAGGAAACAAGAACGAGCACGAGCGAGAAGCAGGGAAATGCAATCCCCAAACACAGTTCATGCTTTACGGCTGTGAGACAATGCTGCTTTTGCTTGGACCTCAGGCTCTGCAAACTTCAGCACAGAGGAGGGTAAGTGCAGTGGCCCCTAGAGAAGGGTGGTCAGTAATAAAATTGCACCCCACTTTATTTGCCCCTTTGTGTTCCTGGGTCACTGCCAGACCTGTCACAATCCTGCAATACATGGAAAGCCAGTGTGTTCAGATGGAATAGTAGGGATGTGACCTAAAGGGATTACTAGTAAGATTTTCCAGAAAAAGAAAAATAGCTATGTTTTAAGCATAAGCGCCGGGGGAGGGGAGAAAGTTTCTTTGTTTCTAATTGGAAAGCTTTGCAAGCTATTGACTTATTGAGCAAAATCGGGACAATTGGGTCACAGCTTTGACGTGTGGGGATTTCTGACACTTTCCTCGAAAGCCTCTTACCCCAAATTGAGGGTCCCAGGATCGGCTGTTTTACAGAAGCTCTTAGGTACTGAGGTCTTGTATGAACTGGAACCATGTAAGATGGGAAGGGGTGGCCGGGCACGGTGGCTGACGCCTATAATCCCAGCACTTTGGCAGGCCAAGGTGGGCGGATCACCTGTGGTCGGGAGTTGAAGACCAGCCTGACCAGCATGGAGAAACCCCGTCTCTACGAAAATACAAAATCAGCCACGTGTGGTGGTGCATGCCTGTAATCCCAGCTACTCGGGAGCTGAGGCAGGAGAATTGCTTGAACCCAAAAGGCAGAGACTGTGGTGAGCCGAGACTGCACCATTGCACTCCAGCCTGGGCAACAAGAGTGAAACTCTGTCTCAAGCAAAAGCAGAAACAAAACCCAAATAACAATAAAAAGATGGGGAGGGGTGACAAACATGTTGGCTCAACCTTAATTGCCAGATTGTGACTCAAGGTCATTTGCTTAGAGATAGCGAGTCTTCAGAAAATCTTTGAGTAAAGGCAAATGAAAGGCTTGGGTCTAAAAACAGGCTTCCAAAAGTGGAAATAGGACACAGGAAGCGGAGAATTGAAAACAAAACAAAACAGATGAGCTGGAATGAAAAGAGTAAGGGAGAAGTAGGAAGATGGGGAGAGACTCTAAGGAAAGCTGTGAAGGGAGAGGATAGTGGCCTCTTGGCTTCATTTTCCATTAGTGCCTCGAACAATATATTTAGTATGAGGTGAGGCTCCTGCACATTCTGCCCTGTTCTCCTCTATTATGGGGGTGCACCCAGACTTCTTGCAGCTGTCATCTTAATATCAGGTATTTGCGAGGTGGGGTGAGAGGTGGGAGGATTGCTAAGGGGCTGTGTAATTACTGGGAACTCCAGCCAGTGTAACATGGGCATATGTAGTTAGGTTTGACAGTATTGATTGAGCCAGACCCTGAACTAAGCACTGGGGATGCTGAGATCAAGAAGGCATGATTCCCGCCCTTAGGAGTGCACTGTCAAAGGAGGAGACAGATGAGTAAACTAAACATTTTGATTCAGTATGTTTTGGGATACGGGTAGGAACCAGGGCTGCAGGGCCAGGGAAAGGGGGCACCTCCCCCAAAGGTGAAGGTCCTATCTTCAGTCCCACAGAACAGCTTACGAGACTCCTCCTCGGGTGCCTCTGGTTCTGAGGGTGCGGCCATCTCCAGCTGTCTCCTGCATTGTCTCTATTTTCTTACTGGCTCCTTCTATTCTAGGTCTCTGCAATCCCAAACACATCATTTCCAGCTCTGTTATGCCTTCAGGCTACTGGCTGAGCCTTTTTCTTTTACTGCCAAAGCATAGCATGCATTTTCCTACATTTCCTCCCTACCCTCTCATTTTTCACCCACCCCTTGATGTCAGGTTCCTCTCTATACCACTTTATCATAATCTCCCTGTTGCAGAAGAACCACCAGTGATTTCCTCGTTACTAAATCCAGTGACCCTCACTGATGTTATTGCACATAGAGCTGAATGGCAACTACCAGGCTACAAGCTCAAACTCTCGCCTCTTTCAGCTTCCCAGGCCTCCCTGCCCTTGTTCTTCCTGCAATTCTCCTGTGCTTCCTTCCTCAGCACCAATTCCCTTCCCATCTCCTAAGTGGGAGTGTTCCCCAGTAACAGCTACAGGGAGCGCACCTGCATCCAGAGTTCCAGCCCTTCTCCGTGCTGATGACACTCAACTTTATCTCCTTCACCTTCTTTCTAGTTCAGAATTTCTAATTACATACTGGTCAGATTCACATTCATGGTCATCTGTGTCCCTCAGGGTTCCGAGCACAGTGCATTGCATAGATATGGATATAATAATATTAACTGAATGAGGAGTGAATGAATGAACGAATAAAATATCCCAGTCTCCTGCAGAAAATCCCACCTTGTCACTTCTGCCTTTCTTTCCTGACCTTGGTTTCTGGCCGATTATCTTCCAAGAGACAGACAATTTATTGTTATCTTCCTAGAGGAGGCTCATCCCCAAAGCCTGGAAATGGGGCTTCGTATTTCCATCCAAAGATCGGTATTGTTGTCTCTCACCCCTCCATTCTCTTGGCAACGTCTCATTTTCTTGGTGAAATAGAACGAAAGTGATTGGCCCTTGTGGCAAGTCATATTATTCATGGTAACATCGTTTTGTCTTGTAAGTGACTGACATCAGGACTGACCTATGAAGTGAATTATACCCCCATTTCAACACGCCCTTTCCCACGATCTTTAACCCCAAAGCAACAGTAACAACTATACTAATAGCACTTGTGATATGCCAGGCCCTAAGTGCTTTACATATATTCTTTTTCTGAATCTTTTCAAAAATCTTATGAGGCAGAAACCATTTCCAGAGTAGGAAACAGAGGCTTAGGGAAGTTGGCGTGTCTGGCTCAAGGTAAGTGGTAGAGTCAGGGTTCAGGGAGACACGAAAACATCCCCCTCTTAACCCTTCACCACACAGCCTCTCATGTCCATTGGATTCAGTTACAGGGGGCGGCTTGAGTTGGTTCACGTCTACAAATAATTGAATTTCTGTTACATGCTGAGCGTTGCGGGATACAAAGGTTTAAAAAGATCAAGTCCATGATCTCAAGGAGCTTACAGTCTAGAGGAAGAGCACCAAGATGCGACTGCTGCTTGTGAAGTGAAATGAGACTTTTGGATGAAAGGGTTACATTTGCACAAAGCACGCACAGTTCAGTATTACATGTCCCTGCCCTTGAAGAAGATCCCAGCTGCTCGAGTTTTGACTATGCAGTGTTTCAGATTTAGTTTCCCCTCCTCTTTGATCAGGCTCCTCTGTCTTTCTAAAGCTCATACTATACATATAATTTCCATTCAAATTCAAAATCTTTCCAATTATTGTAGTGAATGCAATGTTATTCAAGGATTTTTTTTTCCTGAAAGAGCACCTATCTGACATGCATTTTTAATTTTATGTGCAATATGCAAATGTCATCACTGTAGTTGTTAACCGCAGTGCAGGATTGCAATTAACTATGGAGCTGTGCATTTTAGTTATATGCTAATGCTAATGAGATTTTCATAAAGCAAGTCCAATTACCAGCCCTATTTTTTAACTGCAAAAGCTAGTGCAAAGCAAAGGTGTTGACTTTCTTTAGAATAAATTACCCTTTGTCCTTGGCTCCTTCATCATATTCAATCATCCTAAAAAGTAACTCCTGCTACTTTGAATATTGTATCCTGCTTTGCTCTCCAGTACAATATTAATGGAGACTATGGGCAAGATTGTTTAGAAACCAATTTACACTGCACAGGCAGTGGGAAAACTTCCTCCAAATGTAAACTGCTCCAACAGAGGAGCAGAGCTTTGAATACTCAAAGTAAACAGGACCTAGAGGAGACTGAAGACTCAGACAGTAAGTTAGCAAAAATAAATCACCAGAGAGCATGTATGTGGTGTAAACTTGCACTGAGGAAACACAAATGGTGAATGGGTATTTAAACTCAGATTTATGATCAGCTGTGTCACTGGTGGAAGATAAGCACCTTAGAGGGCTATTCATTCATTCATTTAAGAAACAGTTGTGGGGGCTTCTGTGTTCTAGACACTAAATTAGACACTGAAGGTTTAAGTATGAATAATATAGGGGAGGAGAGACAGACTTTCATATTTTATTTCTGTACTAATGGATTCTCTTACAAAAAGAAAGTGTTTGTGAATTACTTGGGCAGTGAAAGAATGAATAAGCACAATGCCTGCCTTCAGTGAGCTTATGATCAAGTAAAAGGATACAAATGTGTAAATTAATTTTAAAAGGATACAAACATGTAAAACAAAGTGTGACACATGAGGTATTTTTAGAGGGAGACAAAATGAAGGCAAAGGTCAGTTTGGAGAA